CAAACTACCCCAAGTTTCCTTAGGACCTCCTAAAGCTCACTATGAGCTTAGAATTCCCTGAAAACAACATATTTATGTGTGCATGAACAGTGCACAAATCGAGGGTTAGGTTTCACGGGGTTTTCGAAGGTTTTAGGTTCTAAAACTTGTACCAATGGATTCTTGAGGTTTCAAGGAACACAAAAATGCTTACCTTGGTTTCGATCTGCAAGGTTTGGGATGGTTTCTGGATTGCCTGTACGAAAATGCCGAGAGGGAGAGAGAGTGAAGTCCACGTGAGAGAGAGAGAAAAGGTATGTGTGTGGTCCAAAAGCCACCAATCAAAACCAACCATTCCCTTACTTCCAATTGGGTCCAAAAACTTAGGGAAAATAATAAATGGGTCCAAATCCAACTTAAATCACACGATACACTTTAACGTCCAAGGGCAAAAATTGTCATTTCACGTCATCGAAAATTAATTATTCGGGAGGGGCCGTGACATCCTACAATTTATTAGGTCTAGAAACAATTTTTTTATTGATTTTTAAAATTGAAATTTGAAAACCCCTAAATATATTTTTGTGTGTCAAAAAATCTTCGAAATCTTCAAAATGACCTAAATTCATATTAAAAAACATGTGGTGTGAGAAGAATTACTCGATTTTTGGCTTATAATGAATCTTGTAAAAATTTCCAAAACTGATTTAAAAACATGGGTTGTAACTCATAGTTAGCGTGAAAAAATTGAAATTTAGTTTTACAAAATATTTTACATGGGAGCTAAGGAAAATGTTAAATGATCTTTGGATACTATCCTACAATTTATTAGGTCACGTAACTTATAGCCAAAATAGTCCCTGATTTTGCATAACACATCACTTTAGTCCCTAAGATTGAAAATCAATAGAAATGGTCTTTGAGATTGTCCACCATCCATTATTTTGGTCATTCCATTAAAAACTTCATTAAGTGTCCCAGAGCTCTTGGCCGGAAGTTTGGGCAATTTTCAAAGCTTCGTAACTCAATCGTTTATCAACCAAATTCGACCCATAATATATCAAAATGAAGATAGAAAAGTGTAGAACAAGATTTTACCTATTTGGAGGCCCAATGGTTGCCGGCTATGGCCAAAAACTAACCTGAAAGGTGACTGGTCCGAGGGAAAATTGGAAAACTCGCCGGAAACAGGGTAAACTTTAAACATCGATAACTTCTTCAATACTCAACGCAATCGAGTGATTCAAAACAAAAATCATACTTCTCAATGAGATGAAGAGAATGGTACCTTTCTCAATGGATAATTCGCAATGGTTTGGCCTGAAAACGGCTCAAAATTGGCTAACTCAAAACCAAAACAGTCACTTTCGAGCAATTTTACGCCCAAAAAAGGGTGAGTTAGCCATCGAGAAATGTACTATTCTCTTCATCTCATTAAGAAGTATGATTTTTATTTTTGAATTACTCGATTTTGTTGAATATTGAAGAAGTTATGAAAGTTTAAAATTTACCTAGTTTCCGGCGAGTTTTCTAGTTTTCCCACGGACCAATCACCTTTCAGGCTATTTTTTGGCCATCTCTAGTAAGCATTGGACTTCCAAATAGGTATAATCTTGTTCTACCCTTTCTTATCTTCATTTTGATATATTATGGGTTGAAATTGATTAAGAAACGATTGAGTTACGAAGCTTTGAAAATTGCTCAAACTTTCGGCCAAGAGTTTCGGGACACTTAACGGAGTTTTTAACAGAATTACCAAAATAATAGATGGTGGACAATCTCAGGGACCATTTCTATTGATTTCAATCTCAAGGACCAACGTTATATGTTCTGTAAATCTCAGAGACCATTTTGGCTAAAAAGCCTTATTTTTAATTGATTTTAAGTTGAAAATAGAAAAATAATATAAACTAATATATATAAAATATTTTTATGTGTCAAAGTTCTTCAAAATATCCTCTATTGATTTTAGGAAACATGTGGTGCAACCACAATTGCTCAAGTTTGGGCTTATAATAATCTTGTAAATATTCCCAAAATTGATTGGAAAACATGGGTTATAACATATAACTCACAGTTTTTGTGAAAAAAAATTGAAATTTTTAGTTTTTGGAAATATTTTGCATGGGAGCTAAGGAAAATGTTGCAAGACCTTTGGAGGTGATCCTACTAATTATTTGTTCTCGAGACTATTTTTTTATTAATTCTTAAATTTAAAAAATAGAGAAAATAATATTAATGCCCTCCAAATATATTTTTATGTGTCCAAAATCTTCGGAGTGTCCTAACTTAATTTTAGGAAAGATGTGGTGTGATGAGAATGATCCGAATTTTGGCTTATGATAAATCATGTAAAAATTCCAAAAATCGATCTGAAAACGTGGGTTATAAATCATAGTTTTGTGAAAAAAAAATGAGAGTTTTAGTTTTTGAAAATGTTGCAAGACGTTTGGTTGTGACCCTACTTTTTATTTGATCCCGAGATTATTCTTTATTGATTTTTAAAGTTGAAAATATATAGAAAAATAAAATAAACTAATAGAGGGCCCAAATATATTTTTGTGTTGAAAATCTTAAGAATATCCTAACTTAATTTTAGAAAACACGTGGTGCGTTGAGAATGACTTGAATTTTGGCTTATAATAAATCTTGTAAACATTTTCAAAATGGATTTGAAAACATGGGTTATTACTCACAATTTTTGTGAAAAAAAAATGAAATTTTTTGTTTTTTAAAATATTTTGCATAGGAGCTAAGGAAAATGATGCAAGACCTTTGAATGTGACCCTACTAGTTTTTAGGACTCAAGACTATTTTTAATTGATTTTTAAAGTTAAACAATCCATAAACTAATATAAACTAATAGAGGGGCCCCCAAATATATTTTTATGTGTCGAAAATCTTTTGGAAAATCCTAACTTAATTTTAGAAAACATGTAGTGTAACGGGAAAGACTTGAATTTCGGCTTATAATGAATCTTTGAAAATTTTCCAAAATCGATTTGAAAACGTGGATTAAAACTCACAGTTTGTGAAAAAAAATGAAATTTTTAGTTTTTTGAAATATTTTGCATGGGAGCAAAGGAAAATGTTGCAAGACCTTTGGATGTGACCCTACCATTTATTGGGTCCCGAGACTATTTTTTATTGATTTTTAAAGTTAAAAATAGAGAAAATAATATAAACTAATATAGGGCCCTAAATTTATTTGTATGTGTCGCAAATCTTCAGAATGTCCTAGATAATTTTTGGAAACATGTGGTGTGACAAAAATGACTCAAATTTTGGCTTATAATGAATCTTATAAAATTCTCAAAATGATTTGAAAATGTGGGTTATGACACATCCCAGCCCGGGTCCCTACCACATCCCGGGCTCGACTCTGTCATAGCACGATATTGTCCACTTTGGGCCCCAACCACACCCTCACAGTTTTGTTTCTAGGAACTCACGAGTAACTTCCCAAGGGGTCACCCATCCTGGGATTGCTCTAGCCCAAATTCGCTTAACTTTGGAGTTCCGATGGAACCCGACACCAGTGAGCTCCCAAAAGGCCTCGTGCTAGGTAGAGATGGGAATATACATATAAGGCTTCCAGGATCCACTCCCATGGGCAATGTGGGATGTTACAATCCGCCCCCCTTAGGGGCCGATGTCCTCGTTCGCACACTTCTGGCCAGGGATTGGCTCTGATACCAAATTGTCACATCCCGGCCCTGACCCTTACCACATCCTGGGCTCGACTCCGCCGTAGCACGATATTGTCCGCTTTGGGCCCCTACCACACCCTCACGGTTTTGTTTTTGGGAACTTACACGAGATCTTCCCATTGGGTCACCCATCATGGGATTGCTCTTGCGCAAACTCGCTTAACTTCAGAGTTCCGATGGAGCTCCCAAAATGACTTGTGCTAGGTAGAGATGGGAATATACATATAAGGCTTAGAGGATCCACTTCCCTGGGCGATGTGGGATCTTACAATCCACCCCCCTTAGGGGTTCGACGTTCTCGTCGGCATACTTTCGACCAGGGATTGGCTCTGATACCATCACCTAGGGGAATGATCCTTATATGTATATTCTCATCCTTGCCTAGCATGAGGCCTTTTGGGAGCTCACTGGCTTCGGGTTCCATCGGAACTCTGAAGTTAAGCGAGTTCGCGCGAGAGCAATCCCATGATAGGTGACCCACTGGGAAGTTCTCGTGTGAGTTCCCAGAAACAAAACCATGAGGGCGTAGTCGGAGCCCAAAGCTGACAATATCGTGTTACAGCGGAGTCGGGTCTGGGATGTGGTGAGGGCCTGGACCGGGATATGACAATTTGGTATCAGAGCCAAACTCTGGCCGGAAGTGTGGCGACGAGGACGTCAGGCCCTTAAGAATGGTGGATTATAACATCCCACATCGCTCAGGGGAGTGGATCTTGTAAGCCTTATATGTATTTTTCCATCTCTACCTAGTACGAGGCATTTTGGAAGCTCACTGGCTTTGGGTTCCATCGGAACTCCGAAGTTTAGCGAGTTCGCGCGAGAGCAATCCCATGATGGGTGACCTACTGAGAAATTCTCGTGTGAGTTCCCAGAAACAAAACCGTGAGGGCGTGGTCGAGGCCCAAAGCGGACAATATCGTGCTACGGCGGAGTTGAGCCTGGGAAGTGGTCCCGCCTAGGTCGGGATGTGATAGGTTATAACTCACAGTTTTTGTGAAAAAAATTGAAATTCTTTTTAGTTTAAGGAAATAATTTGCATGGGAGCCAAATAAAATGGTGCAAGACATTCAGATGTGATCCTACTATTTATTAGGTCCCAAGAGTATTTTTTTATTGATTTTTAAAGTTGAAAAAAAAAACAATAATATAAACTAATGATTTTGGACCTTATGAAATTCACCGAATGACAGGGAAATGTTCTCCTTTTTACATATAGCATGCAATCCTTTCATTAAAAGAGGGAAGCCCTTACTAATGGTGCAATCATTCACCATGATGATCACATCTATATTTATCATAAGGTTGAAGTACATTACGATATCTGATAATAACTATTGTTATAATACAAGAAGCAATTCCGCTTCAATTTATTCCATGGTGAAGCTTAATTATCAGTATAAGGTAAGTTCACTACTAAGCTACTGAATTCATCCGGGGTGATAGACTTTAGTCGCTGCAGTCGACAAAATCGTAGTTGACGTTAAGGTGGCCTGATGCGTAGCCACTGCCGTCGGTGTCAATTTGGTTAAACATATTCACGTCCAAGTCTAGCCCTCCGTTGCTGCATTGATCAATAATTCTCACCACTGTTTGTGCTCCTGTCACAGTGTTTGTCACCTGCACATATATAAATTCATCAAATTAAAATTGCACACACACATTTAGTATAAGAGCGTTCTGGTGATAACAGTTAGTATGCTAAAAGGAACGTTCTACGCGAATCAGCTAATATGTTAATGTAGGAGCGTTTTAGTGCTAACTAATATGTACCAAGAGGCACTTTCCGCAAGCGTCTTCTCCGCTAGGGCCAGCAGGTCCGCAAAATGCAGTCCATCCATATTTGCTGCGCCATTCGTAGGATTGATCGGCATCCCATGTTGAGCAGAATGCACTAACAGCCCGCAAGTCGTAATTGATTTGGGCTGGATTGTAGAGGTGGTACGTGGATCCCACAGTAGCACTTTGTCCCCACGCACTTCCCACAAATACACAGATAATGACTGAAACTAACAATACAAACCATGGTGCAATCTTCCCTGCCATTTCGTGGTTTATGTGATCTGTAATTTAGGGTTAGTTGAAGTTAGAGGGCGAGGGTAATCTAACCTTTGGGAAGTTGGAATCGTATGGGGCGTAGGCGAGTTAATTGGCTACCACTATCACCTTCACGACTCAGGACTCAGCTGAGGGATGAGTTTTTGCATCTGCTTTGGATACAATATATATAGAGGCCTTAGACCTTACTGTTGGACGTGACAAATACGGCATACAGCAGCGCATTGTGAAATGTACAATACATATATGGTATATACTGACACGAGAGAGAGAGAGAGAGAGAGAGAGACTAGAGCAACTAGTTGACTTGTGTACTACCAGAAAAATATAGAAAATCAGATCATCACAATGGCTTATTAGATTAAGATTTTAATTTTATCATTTTAATTATTCACATATACACAATATAATATTTGTAGGTGATAATTTACGCAAATTAATTAAATGATCAAAATGAAATTTAACTTTTTGACGAACTTCGACAAACCAACAATAGGCATTTACTTCAGACGGCACATATCGCACTACACAAAGAAAATTGAGCCAAGAATGAAAAAACCCTTTTTTTTCAAATGGTAAAGAACATTCATAAAACAATGTCCAAACGGACGTAATACAACGTATGTGTTGAATATATCATTCTAAAATAGTTAGTTAGACAGTTGAGAATGTGGCTATATAAACTGTAGTCTCATAGTTGTAAAGAGATTAATTCAGTATCAATACAATCAATTGTTTCTTTCTCTAAACTCTCTCTCTCTCTCAAACTCTCTGTTCATCCATTTCTCTTAATCTTTCTTCTTGATTTTCTCTTCAATTCTAAACACTACAATGTAGTTAACATGGTATCAGAGCCACCAGGCTTGCGCCATTGATTCTGGTGGTTCCGTATTTTCTTTTAGATTTCTTTTTCTAGTTTTATTTTCTCTTCAGATTTTCTTGAATTTTTCATCTAAGTTCTTTGGTGTTCCTTCTTCTCTCCGATCCCTGAATCGGAGAAGGAAGCAGACTCAAGTTCTTACTCAGTTTTTTCTTTGTGGATGCGAATCGACTGAAAAACGTCGTCACTGACCTCACTGATTTCAACTGGGTTTTGGTCGGTAACAACAAGAATTTGGTCGGAGCTGGAGTTGTAGGGGTCGGATTCTCGACTTCTTGGCGGTTGATTGTGCTCTTGAGAGGCGAGGAAGGCAAGATTGGCCGGGCGAAACGAACGACGTCAATGCCGTGATAATCTTTTCCAGCAGCAGCGGCAGCACCGATCAGAGCCGCACTCTCGCCGAGATGCGAGTCCTCCTCTCTAATCCTCAAGATCTGGCTGTGCCGCACGCACCCCGTCTTCTTCCGATCGAAGCATTGCACAGACTCAATAGCTGGGGCCGCCATGGTGTTGCTCTTTAGGGTTTGGGGTCTTCTTCGTCGTCCCCCGCCACTATCGCCCCACCGACCTCGGCGACTCCGTCTCTTTCGACGATCCCGCGTTGTCCTCCTCCTGGTCCTCCGTACACAGATTGCGCAGTGGCGTTGTTGTTAGGGATTTTGTTTTGGTCCAGGTGTTTCCCAAAATCTTCTGCTTCTTGTTCGCTGCAGTCCAGAATCAAGTTGCATCGTTGGTGTTTGATGAATTGCTGCACATATCAATTGTTTGTGTAATTGTCTCAATGAAGAATTCTGTGTTAATTCGTGTATTAAGGCCGATTGCCAAGAGTGTCTTAGTTCAAGATTCTTTTCTAGTTCGGGTACAGATTCAAGGTTCGCAGAATTGTCAGGTTCGAAGAATTGTCGGGTTAGTTCATATCTTGCACTCCATGTGTTTGATGGAGTATCGCAGTCAAAGTTTTTTGCTTCACGATTATTTGCTCTGGGTTTGTTGATTTTTTGTGCGAAAGAAAACAAGGCCGATGCCATCTTTTTGCACTCTTGATTTGGGATATAAGGCCAAAGCCATTATCTCTGTGTAAGTTGTTTGTTTCCTCCACAAGGCTGATAGCCGGAGTGAAAAGTTTTGTCTCAGATATTGTGTGTTACTCCTTAAAGGCCGATAGCCGGAGTAAAGTTGTTGAAAAGTCTTGTTTGTTGTTCTTGTGTGCACCTCCATTAAGGCCGATTGCCGGAGTGCATTTCTTGTTGACATATTGTTAAGTAATTTAGGGTTGATAACATTTGAAGCAGAGAAGATACTCATTTGAAGCAGAGAACTTGCTGATGTCTGACAAAAGTACTTTGAATACTGCTTTCAGCTTTTGGACGATTGGCGTACCTAAACATGGGACATTGGGTTATTTTTACTTGGCTCCATTGATTGGTTTGCTTCAATCTCAAACTGGGAAGTCCCAGTTGAGATTGAGGGGGGATGTTGAATATATCATTCTAAAATAGTTAGTTAGACAGTTGAGAATGTGGCTATATAAACTGTAGTCTCATAGTTGTAAAGAGATTAATTCAGTATCAATACAATCAATTGTTTCTTTCTCTAAACTCTCTCTCTCTCTCTCTCTCTCTCTCAAACTCTCTGTTCATCCATTTCTCTTAATCTTTCTTCTTGATTTTCTCTTCAATTCTAAACACTACAATGTAGTTAACAGTATGTAGCTCTAGAAAAATGAAAACCAGAATACCCAAAGAAAACATTCAACTTGTGTGGGCTGCTTTATAGCTCTTTAGGAGCAATCTAACACTTTAGGATAGATACTGATAAGCCAAGTCATGTGATGTATTATTTTACATACTATTATAAGATGGACGGCTTTGAAAATATATAAAGAAAAAAATAAATTCGTATGTTATAATTTGAATAAAATAGGAATGCCACAAGCCAATTTGGGAGAAAGTGTTTTCTCACATTGAGAGTTTACCAAACATTATATGTAACATCGAAGTTAATTGGTTTGGATGATTTGATCCCGTAAATTCAGACCATCCAATGCTCATTACATTTAATTCTATGTAATACTGAAGTGGACCCTAAGAAAATGCATATAAAGCCAATTAATAAACCCGACAGCAAAATGCACTCCTCTATTAAAACAATATTGTAAAAATTAATTAAGAATATAGGATTATATGAAAAAGTTCATCGTTATTCGTATGTCAAATTTACATGTAAGTTAATATTTAGAATCGATGCAAAATTTCACATTGTTGTGTACGTTTGTTTTATGTATCAACTTGAACTTAAGAGACAATGTTGGGTAACGTAACAAGGTGATTGCCTGGATGCATCGATCGATCTGCATGGCTACTTTGCCCCAGCAGCTTTGTTAATATACACCAGCTTTCTACATATCTGCCGTCGAAGCTCACGGGCATAACTCACATTTAACATTTTGCAAGTCTTATTATATATAGTATGATGAAAGAATCAAGATCGATTTAACATAATTTACATAAATAATTTAGTATGATGAAAGAATCAAGATAGATTTAACATAATTTACATAAATAATTTGATTTGATAGTGAAGTTTTGGAAGTTTACCAGAGCCGCAGCACTGATTTCACATCTTATTAATAAAAACAATGGCATAAATAACAAGCATATCCTCTTCGTAAGCGCAGTTGTATATACAATATCAACTAGGGGTGTGATATCCACACACCCCTTTTTACTTTTCCCACACCTTTTTGGTTTTCGACCGTCGGATCGGATGAATTGAAGAAGATCAACGGACAGAAATTAACAAGAGGTGTGTGGATAGCACATCCCTATCAACTACCAAAAAAAATGAGTGATTTGACTAGCCTCTTGATGAACCCGAGAGAAAGAAAAAAAACAGTCACTAGAAGGATCCCACCTTCTTATGACTGACGAATTTCATGCCAAATACCTAAACAATATGTATTGAGTGACGTGAAACACATGTATGTGTTGGACTTCATATATGAGAAAACCCAAATTTGATGCCATGAATTAAGTTGACGTTTCAATTTAAAATCAATTGGTAATATGAAAAATAGCAAGAAGGAAGGTTAGTACCACAGTAGAAATCAAGCACCCTGATGGTCCTCTTCACTCCCTTCGTGACACTCTTTTCCACTAGGCCCTCATAACTATATATTGACAAAATGTATGTTCAATTATTTATAAGCACATACAAGTTTTTTTTGTTTTTCACCGCAAGGAATTCATCCTTTATTAGTCATCCTCTAAACATAATGGATAATTAATAATTATAAGTAGCAACCTAAGAAGTAGGCACATGACTGCTCTGGCATCGGCAGCCAATAATTACCACAAGTTGATATCAAAGGGAGCAGTTTCCATTATTTATTAATCCCTTTTGGCTATAACCATAAGAGAAATGAGAGTAGCTAGTGTATGGTTTAATCGCCACAACTGACAAACTGGTAGTTGGCCATTAGATGGCCTGGGGCATCGCCTTTCCCATCAGTGTCCGGTCATTTAAACACACCCTCGTCCAAATCTAGGCCTCCATTACTGCACTGATCACCAATTCTCACCTTTGCCTGATCTCCTGTGCTCACGGTTGTCACCTGAGGTGTAACAAATCAAATGAAACTAATCATTTCCACACTACAAGATAACACGGGTTAGGTGACAGAATTTTGTGGTGCCGACTTTCTTTGGCATTGAATAGGTGACGCGAACAGTAACACTAACTTGAATTTCGTGACATATAATTAAATGTGACAAATTTTCATGTTTATGTGACAAATATTTGTAGCCACAAAAACCTTGTTTTCTTGTAGTTCTGGTAAACTCTAATTGAGCATGTGTGTTTGTCGCAACAAAATTACTTACTTAATATACGTACTATTCTTATATATTCACTTAGATGTGGAAGGTCTCATGCCTGATTTGAATAACAAATTCAATATTTAATTATTACATTGTCTCATTATATAACTTATAATTTATATCCCACATAGGGTATCAGTAATTGTATAATTCTATCCAAAAAAAAAAATCATTAATTGTATTAAAAAAAAAAATCATGTATGGACGTGCCCCTTAGCACTTGCCACAAGATGCCTGACCCCGAAGCCCGACGGGGCCGCAAAACGCAGTCCAACCAAACTTCCGACGCCACTCCAAAGGCTTATTAGCATCCCAAGTGGACCAAATCTAGGTTTCAGTCGAGGATCTAAAAACAGTTTGTT